AAGCGGGAAATGGAGAGTGAAGAAGGAAAAGGAGAGGGAGAGGGAAAGGGGAAAGGAGAGGTGAAAGAGAGGGGAAAAGGAGAGTGAGAGAGGGGGAAGGAAAAAAGAGAAGGGAGAGGGGTAATAGAGAAAGAGGGGAAGGAAAAAGGAGAGGGAGAAGGTAAAGGAAATGGGGGTGAAGGGAAGGGGAAATGGAGAGTGAGAGGAAACAAGAGGATAAGGGGATGGTATGATGCAAGTGGAGAGGGAAAGGTAAAGGAGAGGGTGAAGGGAAGGGAAATGGAGAGTGAGAGAGGGGGAAGGGAAAAAGAAGGGAGAGGGGGTAGATGGAGAGAGGGGAAGGAAAAGAAAAGGGAGAAGGTAAAGGAAAAAGGAGAGGGAGAGGGAAAAGGAAAAGGAGAGGGTGAAGGGGCGGGGGATGGAGAGTGAGAAGGAAAAGGAGAGGGAGAGGGAAAAGGAAAAGGAGAAGGTGAAGGGACGGGAAATGGAGAGTGAGAGAGGGGAAGGGAAAACGAGAGGGAGAGGGGTAATGGAGAGAGAGAGAAAGAAAAAGGAAAGGGAGAAGGTAAGGAAAGGGAGAGGGTGAGGGAAGGGAAATGGAGAGTGGAAGAAAAGGAGAGGAAAGGGGGGAGAGGATATGGAGAGAGAGAGGGGAAGGGGAGAGGAGAGAAGAAAGGAGGGAAATGGAACCAAGAGAGGAAAGGGAAGGAGAGGGAGAGGGGAGGGGGATGGGAGAAGAGAGAGAGGGCAAAGGAAAAGGACAGGGAAGCAGGGGAAGGAGAGAAGAGGCGAGAGGTAGAAGTAGGATGGTGAAAAACTGATAGAGAAGGAAATAATGATAGTAATGATAATAAAAATAGTAATAGTGGTAGTAATGATAATGATAACAATATAACAATAATAAATATTATGAATAATGATAATGACAATGAGAAGAATATTTCTTAAGGATATAATGAAATTATGATAATAATGGATGATATGATAATAACGATACTGAAATGAAAACGACAAATCAAAAGATAATAAAAACAATGAGGATGATTATGCTACCATTCCTAACACGAAAGGGCGAACGATAAAGCAGAATTTAACACGTTCCTCATCTCTCCCCGACAGCGGCACGTACCAACTGCAGTTCTACTTCAGGACCGATGTACCGCATGGCCTAATTGCCTTCTTGCGCCAGGTGAGTACGGGCTTCTGAAAAAAAAATAAATGCATGGACGAATAGGTCAAGAAATGGGTGAAAACAATTAGTGTTATTTGAAAGTGTAGGTCGAGGTGTGTTGTTTGAAAGTGTAGGTCGAGGTCATGTGTTTTGAATTGATATCGTGTTTTGGAAGGTCGTAATATTTTTTTGTTTTTATGTTTTATTGTCTATGTATTTATGTGTTTATTTCAGTTTCTGGTAAATTGTGTTCTGAATTGATATCATGTTTCGAAAGTTCGTAATATTCCCTTCCGTTTATGTTTTATTGTTTGTATGTTTATCTATTTCTTTCTATTTCTGAATCTTTTTTGTCTCTCATTTCTTTTTTTTTTTTTTGTCTCCGCATTTTTTGTTTGTTTGTTTCTCCTTCGTCTCTTGTTTCTTTATTTGTATCCTCTGCATTTTCTCCTGTCTCTCATTCGTCTCTCGTTTCTTTGTCTATCTCTTCATCGCATCCAAAACATCTCGGTTCCAGGAATCCGTGCCCGAGGAACTGGCCGGCGCGAGGATCCAGCTGTACGTGTACCTGAGGAAGGGCCACCTGGCGCTCACGCACGTCCTCGGCAACACCACTGAGTCCCGGGTTATGCGAAGAGGTAAAAGGAGGTGTCTTTTCGTTGCATTTCCTCGGTGGTGAGGTTCTAGGTCGTCTTTGAGCGACTGTTTTGTTGATTCGAACTCTCAGATTTGGCTCAATTTTGGTCCTTGACGGTGTCGAGATGGAGACTGAGATGAGCATTACGGTGGCACTGTGCCTCTTCTTTGGAGTGGCTGCGTATCTGCATTCATATAACACATACGCACACACACTCATATAATGTGGTGTGTGTGTTGTGTGTGTGTGTGTGTGTGTGTGTGTGTGTGTGTGTGTGTGTGTGTGTGTGTGTGTGTGTGTGTGTGTGTGTGTGTGTGTGTGTGTGTGTGTGTGTGTGTCCTCACTTGCATTTCTTAACGGCAGTATAATCCAGTAGCGTTTTTATTCATTGTTTATCCATTAATCCACACTCCTACACGCGGATCTACAGGCGGTCTCCAGGGGGGCAACTGGCACTCGGCGGTGGTGAAGGTGGACTCGAAGACGGGCGAAGTGGTGATGGAGGTCGACAGCCACCACGAGGTCTTCACCCTCGAGAGCCTCGCGAACAACCCGCAGTACACCAACGGACGGTCTCTCGAAGGATTCAAGTCGTCCTTGTGGATTGGAGGTGCGTGTGGGGAGAGCCGTGGGTTGGATTCAGATAAAAAACATTTTTGTAGAAATAGCTTTGTAACAATCATTATCACAAACTAGAAGTATATTCAGTATATGTCTTAGGTTATATTCAAAAGAAAACCATTTGGATTAGTATGGAAATAAAGTTGTAACTATTCGTATCGAAAAATAAAGGTATTGTGTTTAGTATATAAGGACTTAAACATTATACAAGGGTGCGACCCATAACCGTCGTTCAAGTAATGAAGAAACACATATTACAATATAAAGCTCAATAACGAAGCAATAGAAATAGTGATAAAAAAAACATTTTCCCACCACTAGCAGTAAACATCATCACAAAACATAATACAAGAAACCACTATAAAATGCTTAAAACAAACACAAAAAAGGAGATATCAGGCTTCTATTCATCATATGTCTTGCAGGTGTCTTCTCAAAGGACCTGGAACGCGAGGACGTGGTGCTAGGAATAGTCCCCTTCCACGGCTGCCTGCAGGACGTGAAACTCCTGAGTGGGGATTCCTTCGACACTATGCAATACATGAAGATGAGGACGACGAAGCACTCTGGCGTGACGGGAACAACTGCAGCATAAGTAAGAAAGAGAGAGAGAGAGAGAGAGAGAGAGAGAGAGAGAGAGAGAGAGAGAGAGAGAAGAGAGAGAAGAGAGAGAGAGAGAGAGAGAGAGAGAGAGAGAGAGAGAGAGAGAGAGAGAGAGAGAGAGAGAGGGAGAGGAGAGAGAGAGAGAGAGAGAGAGAGAGAGAGAGGAGAGAGAGAGAGAGAGAGAGAGAGAGAGAGAGAGAGAGGAGAAGAGAGAGAGTTGAGGAGAGAGAGAGAGAGAGAGAGAGAGAGAGAGAGAGAGAGAGAGAGAGAGAGAGAGAGAGAGAGAGAGAGAGAGAGAGAGAGAGAGAGAGAGAGAGAGAGAGAGAGAGAGAGAGAGAGAGAGAAGAGAGAGAGAGAGAGAGAGAGAGAGAGAGAGAGAGAGAGAGAGAGAGAGAGAGAGAGAGAGAGAGAGTGAGTTAGAGAGTTAGAAAGAGATCACTAATTTAATCAAAATATCCCTCATATGCATTAGCTATGAAATACTTCCATTGCAAATCTAAACCTGCAAACCCTTTCATCCCAGCTGCAACAACCGCTACGAAAATCTGTGTGGGCAGCATTCCCAGTGCGTTGAACACTTCGACCACAGCACATGCAGTTGCTTCAACAGTGGCAAAGACGGCAGAAGGTGTACCGATGGAGGCAAGTTCTCTTGAGCTTATGATTCTCTGTTCCTGTTTCACAGTACTCTCCTTCATAGTGTCAAAACTGTAAATGCAAAATTTAATCAAACTTTTCGTATTATCTATGCATCGGATTTGATTTTAAAGCTCAGAATATGATTTTAAAAATTACGTATTTACATGTTATTATTTGCTTTTATTTACATAATATTATTTGCTAATTCATTATTCATAATTATTATCTATTATTGGACTATCATTCTTCATTATGTTATTACCATTATATATTATATCCGTATCCTCATCTATCATATCATTATCACTACTTATCACATTATTATTTGTTATATCACTTAATTATTACATTACGCTCATCTATTAACCAGACGTCCCAGTGTTGAGCCTCAGCGGGGATGGCTACGTGGTCCACCGTCTGTACGAATGGATGGACCGAGTTCAGTCATACGTCAATCTGATTTCGTTGTCCTTCAAGGTGGGTGTTGTGGAACGGTCTGGCGTTCGTTGTTGTTATTATCAGCTCGTCGATGTGTTGTATCCTCCAAGACGTTGTTAATATTCTTATTTTTGTTATTATTGTTCTTGTTTTTTTCTTCTTGTTCTTGTTCTGCATCTTATTATTCTTATTGTTATTATCATTATTTTCATTATTGTTATTATCATAATTTTCATTATTGTTATTATTATTATTATCAATTTCATTACTGTTATTATTACTACTATTATAATTTATGATATAATAATAATGATAATCATTATTATATTGTTATTATTATTATCATTATTATTATATCATTATTATTATTATTTATTATTATTATTATTATTATTATTATTATTATTATTATTATTATTATTATTATTATTATATTATTATTTATTGATTATTAATTATTATTATATTATTATTATTATTATATTATCATGTTATTATTATTATTATTATTATATTATTATTATTATATTATTATATTATTTATCGCGCCTTATCTTTATTTCACTTTTTAAAGAGATATATGTATAACTGTTAATGACACTGCCGAGGAATTAAGCTTATCTAAATCTCAAATGTATGACAAAGAATATGATAATCAAAAATTCTTGTTAAAAATAGATAAATGATAATAAAAAGAAAAATAATCTTCTTGCCGATCCCATTGTAAATGTCTTCTAATCCCTTATTAATCCTTCTCCAGATTACTTTTTTATTTTATTATCTTTTTTTTCTCTTTGTTCTCCAACTTTTAAAAATCTATTTTGTTTTCCAATTTGCTTTTCTTTTCCAATTTTCTTCACCTCCTAAAACATCATCCACGTTTTCTTTAAATTCGTTTATTTGTTTATTTTTTTATTATTCCTTCTCGTTTTTCTCTTGAATTTTCGACTTTCTTTTGTTTTCTGCTTTTCTTCTGTTCTTCGACTCCATTGCCATTTCCTATCTAATCCTGTTTTTTATTATTATTATTATTAATTTTCAACTGTCTTCGTCTGATCTTTTCCTAATCATGTTTTTCCTTCTCATCCTTTCCTTAATTAATTTGTCCTGATCCTTTTCTTAGCTATCATTCTCTTTCTGATCCGTTTCGCTAATTATCTTTTTTCATTTGGATTTTTTCCCTATAATTCTATCCTTGATTATCTTTTCCCTCTGATTCTATCTTCAATTACCTTTTCCCTTCTGATATTTTCCTTAATTATCTTTTCCCTCTGATTCTATCTCAGTTATCTTTTCCTTCTGATTCTTTCCCCAATTTTTTTCCTTAATTATCTTTCCCTCTGATTCTTTCCCCGATTACCTTTTTCCTTTTGATCTTTTCCTCAATTATATTTTTCAATCCGATTCCTTAATCATCTTTTCCCTCTGATTCTATCCTTCATTATTTTTTTTCCTTCTGATCTTTTCCTTAATCACCTTTTCCAATCCGATCTCTTCCCCCTGATTTTTCTTTCCTCCATATTCTCTCTCCAACATTTTCCTCCATATTTTTCCTTTTCCCTCTGATTCCATCCTTCATTATCTTTTTTCCTTAATTATCTTTTCCTATCCGATCCCTTCCCCCAATCATCTTTTTCCTCTCCTTCACATTCTCTCTCTCCAACAACTTTTTTCCCCTTTTTTCCCCTCAGACGAAATTCTCCGACTCGATCCTCTTCTACGCCTCGTCCGAACACCCCGAGAAACAGTACATCGCGGCGTCTATCACTCGAGCCGGCACCGTCTACGTCGAGGTTGACCTTGGCGACGGACCTACGGGCGTGGAGGTCGGCGAGAACGTGAACTCCAATCTCTGGCACACGCTCACCCTCGTGCACCAGCATGAGAAAATTGAGGTTAGGATGTAATGGGGGAGGGGTGGGGGAGGGAAGGAGGGGGAGAGGGAGGGGAGGAGGGAGGGGGAGGGAGGGAGGGAAGGATAGGGAGGGAGGGAGGGAAGGAGAGGGAGAGGGGAGGGATGGGGAGGGGGAGAGGGGAAGAGGGTTGGAGGGAGGGAGACTGCAACAGAAAATGGACAAAAACGAACGAACAAACAAACAAAAACACAAACACACAAAATGCAGTAAGCCAAAACTATTCCTATTCCCTCCAGGTGATCTTCGACCACAGGACCGAAGGCCAGATCGTCATCCCGGGAGAGATCCGCTATTTCCACCTGGACCCCGACTTCTACGTCGGCAACGCCCCCGACCTTACCAGGTGTAAGTTTTGTATACTCCAAGGGGTAATCTCTGTAAATAGAATACTCCAAAGGGAGACATAGCTGATACACCACAAATAAATCTCTAGAATACTCCAGCTGATAAATCTCTGTAATAGAATACTCCAAAGGGAACATAGCTGTCTGTAAATATACTCCAAAGGAGACATAGCTGATAAATCTCTGTAGTCCAAAGGGAGACATAGCTGATACACCACAAATCTGTAAATAGACTCCAAAGGGAGACATAGCTGATACACCACAAATAAATCTGGAATACTCCAAAGGGAGACATAGCTGATACACCACAAATAAATCTCTGTAAATAGAATACTCCAAAGGGAGACATAGCTGATACACCACAAATAAATCTCTGTAAATAGAATACTCCAAAGGGAGACATAGCTGATACAGCTGCTGACATAGCTGATACCCACAAATAAATCTCTGTAAATAGAATACTCCAAAGGGAGGCTGATACACACAAATAAATCTGTAAATAGAATACTCCAAAGGGAGACATAGCTGATACCACAAATAAATCTGTAAATAGAATACTCCAAAGAGACATACTGGGGGCTATAGCTGATACACCACAAATAAATCTCTGTAAATAGAATACTCCAAAGGGAGACATAGCTGATACACCACAAATAAATCTCGAATACTCCAAAAGGAGACATAGCTGATACACCACAAATAAATCTCTGATAGAATACTCCAAAGGGAGACATAGCTGATACACCACAAATAAATCTCTGTAAATAGAATACTCCAAAGGGAGACATAGCTGATACACCACAAATAAATCTGTAAATAGAATACTCCAAAGGGAGACATAGCTGATACACCACAAATAAACATAGAATACTCCAAAGGGAGACATAGCTGATACACCACAAATAAATCTGTAAATAGAATACTCCAAAGGGAGACATAGCTGATACACCACAAATAAATCTCTGTAAATAGAATACTCCAAAGGGAGACATAGCTGATACACCAAAATAAATCTGTAAATAGAATACTATAGCTGATCTGTAAATAGAATACTCCAAAGGGAGACATAGCTGATACACCATAAATAAATCTCTGTAAATAGAATACTCCAAAGGGAGACATAGCTGATAC